TAGGTGCAGGTCAGTCTAGGCAACGCAACCAACCGCAGTTGTTCCCAGGCGGGCCAATATAGGTGCCTCTTTGATCTAAACACGAAACCAGGGCGTAAGACCTAGACCCAAGTACTAGGAAGAAAAACAAAGATACTTGTTGACCTGCACTTACAAGGAGGAGGCAATGGGAGACTTAACATAGGAGCGCCACAGACGGGTTAGGAAATCGGAGAGATGTAACGAGATGAAACGGCGGCGGAGATGAACGTGATGCTAGCAAGGTTGAATGAACCGAGATTTGGCGAGTACCGTGGTTAATTAATATCACCGCTAAGATGCCCTTTGTGCCCTATGCTGCCATGTCCGGGACTAAGCTATTTTTGACCTCCCCATCCGATTGGGAAGGTAGGAATTCACAGAGTTTTGAAAAGGAAATCGCTGTGTTTGAACGACTTTTTGATTCAAGAGCGGAGAGCAATGGTGGAGTGATTTACTTTCCCTCCGTAATCGGTCGAGGCAACTTCAGAAGGCCGATACATCGAGCTCAGTGTTATGCCAGAAATATTAATGCACAAACTTCTGGCCAGATTGTAGGCATTTCATAAAACACTCGAGTAACCTACGCGTTGAATGACTTTCTATTTGAGAATCCCTCTTTGTGTTCCTGTCTTGCTGACAGAGAAAATTTCTTACTGTCGGATGACGGAGAGATGATTCCCTTGGGAAGTGGGAGCCTATGGACGGCTATAATCAATCAGCTCACTCTTAAAAGCATTCTGAGTGGAACACTGACATTTCTTGGGATTTTTTTTACCTGCCGTATTCAAGGTGATGGGAGATATAAGCAGATTCCCTTCCCGCAGTAGTAAGGCGTGGAGCGCCGTCGCAGTTCTAAACCGAAACCGGAGAGTTGGAAAACTCTTTCGTCATACCTCTGCTCTTCTCGTTCATACCCGATGTTACCGAGGAGACGTGTGGGATTCTGTACTAATGGTTTTGGCGTGAAATTGGTCCCCTTGGAGGTCACCAAGCTCTGACCCATCCAAACTGCAGGGTCATCTTGGATTTCAAGAAGCCGGCTATGGACGCAGTGTAAGGAGAGACACCAGGAGTGCACTCGAAAGGGTTTTGCATAAATTTTCCCGAACAAAAACACTACTGACTGAGTTTATTGCTGTCTTGAACTCTTCGCGAGGTTTGTAAGTATTCTTTATTAGGCTGACGTTTCGGCGGAATCGCCTTCTTCAGAGCCTGAAAGGATCATAACAATTTGTGACTATCC